ATGTGTGTGTGAGCGTGTATGTGTGTGTGAGCGTGTATGTGTGTGTGAGCGTGTATGTGTGTGTGAGTGTGTATGTGTGTGTGAGTGTGTATGTGTAAGTAAGGGCTCATGATTGGAAAAGGAAGGGGAATGAAATATCGCGCGCGGTCCGTGGCCCGTTTTTTAGGGTACTGCTCCGGCATTTGCAGAGTGTTGATTTCAGAAACCACGGAAACTCCCGACCAGAGCAGCCGGCTACTAGAATTCTTCTTTAACAGCAGCTGGATTCTACGTAGCTATGTAGCTAGTGTGGAAAATCCTGCCACCGTAGGGAGTGGAAGCCTAGGACCTCCCGGTCAGAGGCACTGCAGTGACATCAATCGATGCCCTGAGCCACCTACGCCAGCACTATTTGGTTTCGCTCGACGTCTTCGGTGGAAAGCGTCGTCAAAGTGGCGTGCGTCGCGTACGCACCTTCCTTGAACTGCTTGAACATGATGTCCAGCGTCGTGTCCTCGAACACGAAGTTGCACGGATTCTGGTAGAAGTTGCACAGGGTCGAGAGCGGGGTGTTGTCGTCGGGGTCCACGAAAGCCAGGTCTTTGATGTACAGCACCGTCACGATGTTGGAACGCACACCGTCGTACACCGGAATACGGGAGTAACCTGGAAACAAGACAAGTTCGTGAGAATGCTGTGGAAAAAACAACAACAACAGAAATTCCAAGATGCTAAGTAAAGTATTAAAGGAGATTTGGACGTCCACGCAATGGATTACTGCCAGTTAGGAGGTTATCCTTTCTTTAATATTATGGTGTATTTCCCCCAAAAATGTGAATTTTTCCAACACTTAAGATAGCATTAGACATCAATACGAGAAGCATGAGCTCTACAGTTTATATAAATACAGCTTATATAAATTCAAAGTACATTTTTAGTGGGTCAACTGAAGCATTTCTCCACAATATCAAAATGTACCGGATCGCAATTTTGTTTAATATGTACACAGGTGTAATTATCAAACTTCATTTTGCATTTTTCGAAAATTCATGGAGTGAAACAAAATTGCGACCTACGCTACTTTTTTATATGACTTTTGCTCTATCAGACGAAAAAATTTAAAGAAAAAATTTAAAGAAAAAATTTGGAGCCATTTTTGAGAAACGTTTGAAAACGTTGTTGAGTCTTTATGTACGAGTAAAACGGCCCCCAAAAATAAAAATAAAAAAAAAGAATCCGTTTCAAATTCAAGGGGCCGTGACATTAGTTAGATCGGTTTGGGAAAATCAATTTTGGTGAAAATCCTGCACGCGGTTTAGCCGCAAACGTTCACAGACAGACATATGCTTCGCAGTCAATCACTTTTTTGGTACCAAGAATCCACTAAACGTAAATTCTAACTACACAGTGTGTTAGAAGATATGATTTACTACAGATAGGAACAATATTTATCCATTATTCGTTGCCGGAGCACGGCAATAAGAGTTTTTGGGTAAAAAGAAATCGACGTTTCCCCTGCAACATCACAGTACTTTCTCTATACTGCGTAAGTAGTAGCGAGAAAGTAACAACAGATGTTTACCTCTAAAGAGAAATCGAGTGAAAATAGCACAAGGTCACGGGTATTGAGATTATTACATTTAAGATCGGGAAACCCTGGTTCAAGGTCTTGTGTCTATCTTCATAGAGGACATACCGCCATAATCAAACAAGGTAGCGATCATGCGCAGCTGCAAACCAGGGTCCAGCTGCGAGAAATTCATGCGTAGTGTAGGAGCGCCCTCACTCCTCTACGCCCACTCTACACCACTCTACTGTAGCCATTTTAAGATTCCCCCCCTCCCCTCCGAATTCCCCTTTCTTTCTTTCTCCTTCTCCGAACTGTCCTTCTGCAAACCGATCGCCTGTAAATACTATATTCTCTCTTCTCTTCACATCGTTAAACCTTTTATCTTCGGGTGGTTGGAACCCTTCCCCGACAGTCCAAGAGCCTAACACCAGAAATATGCCCGCTCCCTCTGCCTATACACCTGCCTGAACCTTAAATGTCCAGTACCTGCCCTACAACGTCGATGAAGAGGAAATAATATCTAAACACGTTGTCATGCTTTCATCATGAACGAAACTGCGTTGAAGCATTCATTGAATTCCGCGCATGGACCGATTCCAGGATACCGTGTAGTAAGCGCTGATACGAAGGGAATCACACGCTGGAGACGTCGGTACATACATTTGCAACGACCTTAAGCATAAACTTGTTTTCCCTTCAGCAAATACCGAATACGGATGCTAATGTAGTGAGTATCAGGTTTTATTCTTAGGAAAAAATGTCTCGTGACTGTTGCATATTTTACCATCTAAGTCAGGTAGCGCAGAAATGTTAAGTGTAATCGTTCAATCTGCGATAAAAGATTATGAACATGTCATTGTAAGGAGAGGCTTTACTCTCATCTTATTAAAAACATCTCCGCCTGCAGAGCAGTTTAAGGGCATTTCTCTTAGCATGAGCCGGACCATCACATCACTCAAAGAACACGGGAAGTTGGATAGATCATATTAGAGTCTTTAATAGCCTCTTTGTTGGATATATCATATTATAGCTTCTAATATTATTACAAAGTTCGAAATTACGTTAAATTTCCACTACCTGGAATTTCAAAACATTACCTAATTTATCTTGTTTACAACTTAAAGTGTCCTAAATACTCGCATCATTTGGTCAAAGACCATGGAGTTCAGAAATTCAATAAACAAGCTTTTAATATATTAACACTTGCATCTTGTACGAAGTGTCACTGAACGCTAACGAGGCGAACTTCATTAACTCAATGACACAGCTCTATGACCGCCACACTCCTATAAAAACATCGCGCGCAACTCGCCCTGCTGCACCATAGTTAACAGATGAAATTAGATATTTACGAAAGATCGAAATGCAGCTCGTGCTATCTTCCGGAAAACTAAACGGGAACAATTTAAGAATATGTACACAATGATCAAATATTTAGTTACGCAGAAATGGCAATGCTAAAATTCAATATTACCAGAATATTTTCGGCAGAAACAGCGACTCGAAAACTGATTGGAATAATCCGCAAAACCTTGGACTATGCAAAGCTCCTACCTAGTTCAAACTAATATCCCCATAGAATCACTAAATCACAATTTCATCAATAAAGTACTTCCATTTGACAGTCCATGTGACATTGACCTTAACAAAACACGCTGAGCAACTCCGCTGTTAAGTTTTAAGTCATTTGAGTTGCGCCTACCAGCCAACAGGACACTACTCTTCGCGTTCTGTGAGTTAAAGAATTAAGAAACCAGCTACGCGTAGGCAGTGAATATTCCTTGAAATTGCGATCACCTCAACGATATAAATTTCGGTCACATCAGTCATAACGAACGGGGTACATCAATTTTGGTGAAAAACCTGATTACGGTTCAGCCATTAACTTTGTTCACAGACGGACGGGCAGACGATGTGCCGTGTTCGAATTTTTCGGGATCAATCCAATCGTGGATTCCGACTATACGTGTTAGATGAAGTAATTTCCTACATGGAACAAAATTTATCCACTTTTTCGTTACCAGGGCCTGGCAATAAGAGCTTTTCTGTCGAAAAATGGCCATTCCACCTCCCCGCATTACAATAGCGAGCGCTCACGCTCTTCAGAGGCCAGATGGGCTAGCCTGCTTTAAGCGCTAGTGTGTTTTCTTTTATTTAAGGTCGCATTAACATCTGGGTCATTAGCGAACATTATTGCATTTCACGGTATGGTAACTCGGAATATGACATGATATGGCGATAATAGGGGATGATAGGACGAACACAAATACAACCATGCCCGAGGCGGGGCTCGAACCTGCAATTATTCTGTCCGAGATCGCTACGACACTACTGCCTTAACGATCTCGGCCATCCGGACCAGTTCGCAAACGGACGAGTAAACGTTTTTTTTTCTCTCAAGAAAACAACAACAAACTTTTTGGTTGTTAGGGACCGTAAAGGTGCATTTTCGGCAAAAACTCAATATTGATTCTCTGGTTGCATTTCAGTATAATTTTCTCTAGACTACGTAGAAAACAAAAAAATACTCGCTTTTGATGCGCCGTAGGTTGTTCACTAAAACATGTTTTTAGAAATGTTATGCTAGACGGGACTGTCGGGCGGACATATTACCCACAAAAATAAAAACCCTTCTTCCGTAAGGGTTCTGCGGGACTCATTAGACGTTTGAAGTACTTTTTTGCGAGAAAAAGTTTGGTCATGCAAAACACAGCAAGCATCCTTTTATAAAAGCACGCGCGCATCCAATTCATTCATCCCTGGCTGTTTGCGAGACTGGTTCCGTAGTAAAGCAAAACCTATCGCATTTTGAAGTCCATGCGGAATAGAGCGTCGAAACTAATACTTCGTCGAGTATTTGCAAACGCAAATTAAAAGCATTGAGAAAAAGTTCCCCCGTCCCAAATGGATTTGCAACGTTTGTATACATATTGACCTTTGATATTGCCAAGGACAAAACAACCACTTAACCGTTAATTACTGCCAAACGCGACATCAAAGCAATACGCAATTCTAACCCAGCTCTGAGCCGCCAACGCGTCTGCGTCATTGCGGAGGTCATTGGTCCATTCCGCAGAAACACCACGCCCCAAGGCCCTTGAACCTTCCGCGACTGCGTCAAAATCCCACTAGTGGTTCTACGACAGCACGTTCTTTCTCGCCCGTACTTTCACGCAAAATTATGAGAAAAGTACTTAAATTTTCAAAAAATGTACATGATCTTATTTCAAAAATATATCGTTAAGGGGAAAACAATTTTTTCTTCATAATTGTAGTTGTAGGAAGACGACGAAAAAAAGATTTGAATTTTCGCAATTTTCGAAAAATTTGAGTTTTTAACGAAACTGATACCTGAACCATTCTCTTAAACTCACTCACCAACAACAAAGTTTAATAAAAAACAATGGAGCCAGTTTCTTGAAAATGTCCCAGGGGCTCATGTAAAGCACCCCACCAAAATTAAAAATATCGGTTTCAAATTCAAGGGGGCCATGACATCACGCAGATCGTTTGGGGAATATGAATGTTGGAGAAAATCGGCCGAACGGTTTAGCTGCTAGCATTGTTCACGGAGGGACGGACGAACGGATGGATGGACGGACGGTCGGACATACAGATTTTTTGCCTTCATTCAATAGCTCGGTGGCAAGGACCCACAAAACATGGATTCTGGTCAAACCACGTGTTAGAGGGTTTCTCTATCTAAATTTACCAACTGTATTTATCTCGTTTTTCGTTACCGGGGCCCTGTAATACGAGTTTTTATGCCGAAAATTCGCCGTTTTCTCGCGCAGCATTACTTTAACTTTCTCTCCACTGCTCTCAAGCGGCAGCGAGAAAGCACCACGCGACGGACCTTGCTTCATGATCTCTGAGACGGTCTCGAAGTCGAGGATGGCGTCGTTGGACAGCATGAAGACGTCCTCCAGCTTCGTCATGACGTCGCTCACCACCTTCTTGCGGAACTCCAGGGCGCCCGCGATGATGTTCACCTCGTCCTTCTCCAGGTCGTTGTACTCGTTGGTCACCTGCAACCACCAGACACGTGCACATCAACAACATTGTCATATCATTATCATCCACAAAAGAGACTACTGTACAAGAGTTTAATGAGCTTTAATTCGTTTAGCACACCCATGAGGATAACTACAAGTTCGATTAAAGTGCTTTAATGGGTTATTTGTATTATTTTAAGTAGGCAAATGGGAAACCTTTTAATAATGAGATAAACAGTGTTTTCAATAAATGATTAATTTCAATGATCGTACCAATGGCAAATACAGCAAAGTACTTCAAACAATACCAAACTTTAAGATACTGTGCATAGCTGCAGTTTCTCGCACTTCTAAGCGAAAGAACAGTCTACATCTTTATCTGAATATTAAAACCAGAAGCAATTAGGGGACATGCGATAAAACACTAGTAACATCTTCAGATTACCAAAATATTCAAGGATCAAAACTCATTGATTCTATGAAAAAAAAGAAGAGAGATTGAATAGGAAGGAACCAACTGAACTTGCTGCAGTAACGAAATGTCCAGTAACGAAAACTACACTGAGGCATACTCTGCATAGGAGTTAGGAACGCACAAAAACAGTAAGTTATAGCCAGTTATAGCTTTACAATTCATAGCATAAGTCTAGTTAATTGCATTTCAACTAATGTCACCTTATTTTTCACATCTAGTGTATGAAACTTCTTAAGAGCTAACGCCATACAGACATCTTCATTGACACCATCAGTAACATTCATTACGTATACATTCTGGTGTGTCTACTATGCAGATAAAAAACGCTTTTGTAGCTGTCTCTGGTCGTTTGCTCTTTTAAGTTTGCGAGGTTAGATTTATATAATGAAGATCATTGCCTCCTTGGTCATGCGCCACTAACTGCCCATTTTCGTCGCTCTCGCCGTCGTTCATCTTTTGTCATGCGCAGAGCGCAACGTTCCCAGTTCTCCCTGCGAAGTTGGGCATATTAAGCATTCATTAATGCTGGGAATTACATGCAATAGCAAGGAGGAAACTATCCATAACAATATGTCGCAAAAATGAGAAAATATGTAAAATGCAATACATTACAAAATATGTAAAACATATTTCAGACAACAAAATTCAGACAACAAAACAACATATTTCAGGCAACAAAAAATATGTCAGTACGTACTTTTTCTCATTTTTAACGGCTACGTAATATTATAATACTATTTGAACATTCATTTGAAATATTTAAAAAAATAAAAGGCTACATGAAATTATGAAAATTACGATTATGTCGAGATAATTAGTACACTAAGCTTTACCCATTGAAAAATTCTGATGAACATACTAGAAGTTGTTCGATGCAAAATTATCCGAAAACTATACTAAACACTAAAAATCATTTAAAGACATTATTTTGAAGAATAGATATAATTAATACATAAGGTATTTTTTGTATTTTTTTTAAACTACTGAAAGGTGTATTTTTTAAATATATCTCACGTTGCTTATGTTACATTACGGGCTTTTACTACACATTATTGCATTTTCAGTACACAAATGCTTCAAATGGTTACTTGACAACTCTGTGGAAAACAGAACTGGTCGGTGAAAATTAGCACAAAATTTCGTATTTTCAGAAACGTTCAAATGAAATTTTTTTACAAACGGCTTCAAATTTTTCAATGAAAATTTTCCTGTAGTTTGTGACTCTGCGACTGTGACTCTTCTTTAACATTCTCAAAGACATATTGCAATTCTATCATTAGGGACCGAAGAATTGAGGAAATGTGAAAAAAATATTTTGGTGCTGGCACGTCCAGGGAAGAGGGTAGGACGGAAAAGCTAACCTAGACTAAATTTAATTGAAAACTGAGTCGAAAAGGTTTGTAGCACCACTTGTTTTACTTCTCTGTTTCCCCATAATTTAAAGCTCATATTTATGGCGGCATTGAATAGTGTCATTATATATATATATATATATATATATATATATATATATATATATATATATATATATATATATATATATATGTGTGTGTGTGTGTTCGCACATCAACTCTGTGTACAACTATAATAATGGTCAAATATTGCGCACTGCGCAATTCGATCACTTTACAACATCCACTTAAAACCGGCGCGCCTACGACTAAGAAATCGTGGGCAGCCCGCACAACATCGAAGTACGAAGGGTTGCGTTCAACTAGATATGCCCCTTGTAGGGACGCTTAAGTATTAGAAGAAAAAGAAGTGGCTTGAACCCATTTATTCCAGCTTCCCAGTAATACTAAACGACCATATGTTCAATGGTAAGAAATAATAAACTGCTCTTGTAGACGGCTTATCTTTTGTAATTCAAATCTCGTGTTATGTGCTCATTTTGCGAAGTCACAAAGTGCGTTCTGAGCTTCTTCATTGAACATGCGGCCCATTCGAAAATATTATCTTTACTCGGATCTCTAGTACTCGAAGCGGCGAGAACATAATTCAAAATAAACATAGTTTAAATCAATACAGAAGATCGACGCTTCAAAAAAGTACAGCAGTTTTCTGTTTAGCGGCCACAAAAACCTGAGTAGTAAATTTGAGTACAACAATTAATTTAGAACAAACAGAACCTTGAAGCTTCTAGCAGAAAAGGGTTTTGTTAATTCACTGTTTTAAAGAGTAACGGAACGTAAGTGCTGGCGTTAACTCGCTAATTTCAGGAATTCTGCTAATAAGGTTTTTATTAAAAATAGACAATCTTTTGCACATCAACTTTGCCACGTCATTGTGACACTACAGATGTGAGTGACTTGAGCTTAATGGTTCTGAGCTTGTTGTTACAATAGACATCCGAGAATTTCGGGTCTTGAAGCCAGTTTCCATGTGACCATTCGTGTTTTCAACAACATGAGGAAAGATACCAAAACCGAAGAAGAACCAAGAAGAGATGAAAGTAAAAAATCGATCTTGCACTGTTTAATTTTTAATAAAGGATTGAACAGTGGAAGATCGATTCTTATTTTCATCCCTCAACGTCCGTCTTCGTTAATTCTGAGGACTTAACTAAGTTAATTCTACGACTTAATAAGTAACTGATGTGGTATGGTATGGCGTGGTGTGATATGTGAGATGCGAAGATGAGTGGTATGTCATGGTAGGTGATGCGATGTAGTGTGGTGTAACGATTAATGTCGTGTGATGAATTGTGCGGTGATGTGATGTAGTGAGGTGTGATGTGATGTGGAGAGGTTAGAGTAGTGAGATGTAACGTGTCGAGTGAAAGGTGGGGGCTATAGCTTAGGTAAGGCATGGTGTGCTTCGGTGAGAGTGGGGTACGGTATGCCATAACCAGTGTGGAGTGATGTGATTCAGTCCGGTGACGTGGGATTGTGGGGTGGGGTGGGGTGGCGTGGCGTGGTGTGATGTGATCTGTGGGGGAAACGTAGCCGCGCCGCCAGATACCATAATGTATTGGGCGGGGAGGCGGGGTGGGGTGGGTGGGGTGGGCGGGCGGGGTGGGCAGGGCTAGTAAACAAACCGATTGACCTCCTTCGCCAGCCCGCCCGCGCCGAGCGAGGCCAGCGACCGCTCGCCAGAGGCAAAGCGCCGGAGGAGGCTCAAGGGCGTCCGGAGTCCCCAGTCCGCCCCCCGCGCCTTCCCACAGCGGCGAAAGCAGCGTACCAAATAGCGGGGCTACTTTCTCGCTTCATTCGTGACTTTTCCACAATTCAAAAATCCAGAAAGTCCAAAAAAATGGTGTTAGTGAAAGTAATTTACTACATTTAGGAAAAAGGAGTATCCCCTTGTTGTTACTAGGAACTCACAATAAGAATTTTTGTGTAAAAAAAATTGCCGTATCCCCCCACAGCATGATGTTGCATAAATAGTACGCAAGTAAAAAATACAAATGTATAATTTTTGAAAAATCGGAAGAATACATCAAAAATACATACGTTAGTGCATTTTGCACTATTCGTCCCAAATGATTCAAGAAACCCTTTTTCATTTTCTCATTTCCACAGGAAACTTCTATTTGTTTGAGAAAATTCATGAAAACATTTCAAGTATTTATACCCACAAATGAAATCATTACATCACTACAAATTAACAAATCAGAAGTGTCATCTATGATTTTCGGCTTCTAAATACCTTTTCAGATCTTTCCAATGGAATTTAAACATATTATAGATACCACACGTGGGACCAACCTAGTTTTTGTATAACCGTGATATCGCAAACGGTTCCAACAGTATGGTTTTTTTGTTGACCCCCACCCGGCCTGTCTTGGTCTGCCCCGTGCAATAATAGTATCGATAGAAACAATAGTTAACCCCAAAACTACTTAATCATCATGAAATGTAAACTATAATACTTACAGACACTATCCAAGGGACTAACCTAGTTTTTGTCATACCATGATAACCCCAACGGTTTCGAAGTCCAACCTCCCTGGCGATATTGCTCAGCTTCGGGCTCCCATTATATTCAAGCGAGTATGCGCCACAAAAACTTTACAACCTCCGAAGCGATTGCTCCCAAATTTTGCACAAATACTTTGAGGGACGAAGAAAAAAATTGCGTGATTGCGATTCAAAACTGTCACTTCAAAATGTTTCTTTTCTTCTTGAATATCCGGTAAATTCACTCCCCAACGCAGCTACGCTTCATCGACGCTGGGCGTGGCCACCGTCGGGGGAGCCGAGCAGGACAGATCGGAACTGACAGAGCTGGAGGAACGGTAGGGGCGGAAGGACAGGCAGAACGGGAGACGCAGAAAAAGCGATAGGAGCGGAAGAAGCGAAATGAGAGGTGCAGCGGACGGAGGAGGAGCGAAAGAGCAGAAGGAAAGTGGGGGGTGGCGGAAAGAAGGAAGAAGCGGGAGGAACAGAGAGAGCGGAATAGACCGGATGGGAGGGGCGGGTAGCGTTAGCAGGACGACCATAGCGCGCCAGTAGTGGAGAACGAAGCGTGTTGAGCGGGAATAACATACAGAGCGAAATAGGCTGGGTGGGAGGGTCGGGTGGCGTTTGCTGGAAGGGGACGTGCGGGGGAGGCGGACGAAGCGCGACGACAGGGAAAAAGTGATCAAGCAGAATAGGGCCCGGTGGGCGGGGCAGCGATGGTAGACCAATAGTGCGTGCGAGGGGGAGGCAGGATGTAACGTTACGAGCGAGAGGAAGCACAAAGAGCGGTAGTAGGGGCTGGATGGGCGGGGCGGAAGTTGTAGTCAGGCCGGATAGAGCGCGCTGGGACGGCAAGCGAATCGAGCGAGGTTGCTTAATAGACGACTGCGAGAAATAAATACCCGGGCAACGCCGGGGAATCAGATAGTAACATAGAAAAACGATCGAATTGTGAATATTAACGACGTGAAGATGTATCAAAAACATTACAATTGTGTAACTATCGAAATATTAACAGATTACAAATACAAAAGATTTACTTCATACACAATTACGTAGAACCACTCACATTCAGAAAAAAAATGAACATGACCTCACTTAAAGATCAAATTTTCAGGAATAGATTTCAAGGATTCGGGACATAAAGATCGATTGTGGAATATTAATTCTGATGAAAATTCCACTTATGGTTTACCGCTAGCATGGTTCACGGACGGTCGGGCGGGCAGGACAGACAGACGTTTTACCGCAAACCAAATAGTCGGAGTCAATTATAATAGTCGGAGTCACATACAAAGGGTGGATGCTGACTACCCAACGTTAGAAGTAATTTACTACATACATAGAAACAAGAATTATCCACTTATTCGGTATCTGGATCT